GAACCCTACAGGAGAATTTCACCTGGGATGTATCAGGAGGTAAGACAGCACTTGAAAGAAATGCTTGAAGCAGGTGCTATACGGAAATCACAAAGTCCTTACAGTTCAAATGTAGTGTTAGTCAAGAAATCTGACGGGTCCTTAAGATTCTGTATCGATCTTAGAAAACTTAACAACAAAACCATTAAAGATGCCTACACTTTACCTAGAGTAGATGAGACTATTGATACTTTGATTGGAAGCAAATATTTTACTAAACTTGATTTAAGATCAGGTTACTGGCAGGTTGAAATTAAGGAAGAAGACAAGCATAAAACAGCTTTTTCTCTAGGGCCTTTGGGGTTTTATGAATGCAATCGGATGGCATTTGGCCTGACCAATGCCCCGGCAACCTTCCAACGTTTAATGGAAACCTGCATGGGTGATTCACATCTTAGAGAATGTCTTATATTTTTAGATGACATTTTAGTTTTTTCTCAGTCTTTTGATGAACATCTTAAAAGATTAGAGGGAGTTTTTGAGAAACTGGAGAAACATAACTTAAAGCTTAAACCATCTAAGTGTGAATTCTTTATGAGTGAGGTGAAATATTTAGGTCACATAGTGTCGGAGGAAGGTATCAAAACCGACCCAGATAAGATTGAGGCACTAAAGTCATGGCCAGTACCAAAGAATATTAAAGAATTACGCTCATTTTTAGGTTTCACAGGATATTACCGGCGTTTCATCAAAGACTATGCCAGAGTAGTTCAGCCGCTTAATGAGTTACTGGTGGGACACCCAACAGCGAAAAGAAAGAATCAGGGAAACAGGAAGAAAATACCATGGTTATGGGGTAAGGAACAACAATTTGCTTTTGAGACACTTATAAGTAAGTTAACAAATCCCCCTATTCTCGGCTATGCAGATTTTTCTAAACCATTCGTTTTGAATATTGATGCCTCCACTGAGGGCTTAGGTGCTGTTCTCTATCAGAACCAGAATGGTTTAGAACGGGTGATTGCATATGGCAGTCGTGGTTTAAAGAAAAGCGAGAAGTTGTATCCAGCACATAAACTTGAGTTTTTGTGTTTAAAATGGGCAGTAGTCAACAAGTTTAAAGACTATTTATACAACAATTCTTTTGAAGTTAGAACGGATAATAATCCGTTGACTTATGTCATGACTTCAGCAAAACTCGATGCCACAGGTCACCGTTGGCTTGCTGCTTTGAGCAATTACAATTTCAGGATATATTACAGATTTGGGAAATTAAATCAAGATGCAGACGGGTTATCCAGACGTCCATATCATCTCCAGATTTTTCCAGAGGCTGTCAAAGCAGTGTGTCAAGCAGCTCTCATTGACCGAGAACAACTTCCATTAGCAGAGAGTCTACTCATTACAGACACTGGTCAACTCAACCCGGATATATCTGAAATAGAATCACAGGAACTGAGTACCATTAACTGGAAAGAGAAGCAGGATGAGGATCCAGTGATAAGTAAGGTTAAGTACTTGTTAACAACTGGTGAGAGGTTAGATACTGAGAATGTTGATATAGAGACAGAGGAGGTTAGGAAGTATCTTAGAGAGAGGAAAAGTTTTGAGATTAGGAAAGGTGTATTGTTCAGGAATACACAGATTGATGGAATGAATATTAGGCAACTTGTTTTACCAAAGAGTATGATAGGGACAATTTTCAAAGGTTTACATGAAGATATAGGACATCAGGGAAGGGAAAAGACCAGTTGGCTTGTCAAGAAGCGTTTCTATTGGCCAGGAATGGATACTGATATTAGAGAGAAAGTTGAGCATTGTGGCCGATGTGTTAGAAGTAAGACCAGGGAACATCCTAGATCAGAGCTTGTTACCATCAAAACATCGCAGCCAATGGAACTGGTATGTATAGATTTTCTTTCTTTAGAGAAGTCCAAGGGTAACATTGAGGACATACTAGTCATAACAGATCATTTCTCAAAGTATGCAGTTGCAGTCCCTACACGGAACCAGAAAGCTTCAACAACAGCTAAAGCGCTTTATGAAAATTTCTTCTGTTATTATGGATTTCCACAGAGAATACACTCGGACCAAGGCAGGAATTTTGAGAGTAAGTTAGTGAGAGAGTTATATAACATCGCAGGAGTAAGTAAAAGTAGGACAACCCCTTACCATCCTATGGGGAATGGGAATGTGGAACGCTTTAACCAGACTCTATTGAAAATGTTAGGTACGCTTGAGGATTATCAGAAAGAGGATTGGAAATCCTACATTAAACCTTTAGTGCAAGCTTACAATGCTACTAAGCATGACACCACAGGGTATTCTCCACATTATTTGATGTTTGGATGTCACCCAAGACTTGCCATTGATGCTTACCTAGGATTGGATGAGTTGTCTGAAAAGCCTAAGAGCAGGGAAGATTATGTGGATAAACTAAAGAAACGTTTAGATTTTGCCTACAAAGTTGCTAGGACAAATATGGATAAAAACACAGACAGATACAAACAGAAGTATGATAGCAGAGTTAGAAATTCACAACTAGAAATAGGAGATAAAGTATTGATTAGAGTTTTAGTTAAGTCAGGAAAGAGCAAATTATCAGACAAATGGGAAAAAGAACCTTACAGGATTATTGACATTCCAAATCCAGAAATACCAGTTTACAAAGTTCAAAAAGATTCAGGTAAAGGAAAGATCAAAACTTTACATAGAAATTTATTATTACCATTTATGTATATTTCAGATACCACTATTCCCACAGAAGGATTAAAAAGATGTCCAAAGAAAACAGAGAAACAGACGAGACAGTTTACTAGGTTAGCTGAAAAGGAGGATTCAGAGGATACCTCATCATCGAGTGAGGATGAGCTGTATAGAGTAAGTACAGGTAAGAGAGGTCGGACTAGGCCTGATACATCAAGTATCTACCAGTTAAATGATTTTCAAAAATCTTTCGGTACCGAGGGCAAAGTAAGTTCCGACAACTTAAGTCGCGGTTATCGTAAATCAACACAGTTCAATCCAGATTCGACTGTAAAGACAGACAAAGAGTCTCACGTTCTGTCTGTACCCAACATTGATTTACCACCTTTATCCCCATCTTTATCACAAAATGGAGATGTTAGGAGTGTAAGTCCTGTTACAGTAATTTCACCGCCCAGATCTCCAAGGATATCTACCAGAATAAAAAAACCTCCTGATAGATTTGGTAGTTGGTATGTGGGAAATCAGCAGGTTTGGTATGTATAAGTGACACAGAGAAATCAAGAAGTTGGTATATGTAAGTGACACAGGGAGAGAATGTCACAGTATTTTATGATATTGGATTAAACTATAGATGCCATGATAGTGGTACATGGACTCTACTGTATATAGTTTTATGACTTGATAATGGTTACAATATATGTAACAATGGAGTTTTATGATACATAACAGAGTATTTTTATGACTTGATGCTTATAATGCAATTTAGATTTGTTAGTTTAGTATTTTTCATTGTATAATGATTCACAAATTATTTTCAGATAAAATGTCAGGAGACATTTTCCTCTTGCACAGGGAGAATGTCACAGGATTAGTATTTACTATATGTTACTATGTATGATAATTTGCGCATGCGTCATCTCATTCATTCATTTAGTCTTTATACAACAAACAAGCAAGCAAACAAATATGTACGTGAAATATAAGATATTTTAATTAATATTTTCCAAATAATTTGTATTCATTTCATTTCTTTTCGTTATCTTCTTATTGTATGTTACAGCTAGGAGCGTAAAAGAACAGATGCTTTAAATGAATATATATATATATATATATATATATATATATATATATATATATATATATATATATATATATATATATATATATATATATATATATATATATATATTTGTTAAGCTTTATAGTGCTGTTTTCGGATTTCTATGAAATGCCGTAGTTTTATACATTGAAATCACTTGAGGGAAGGGGTGTTAGTATCTTACTTTGGGTTGTTAAGTTATATTAAGAGAAATGATAAAATCAATTAAATAAATGTCACAGGATTAGTATTTACTGTATGTTACTATGTATGATAATTTGCGCATGCGTCATCTCATTCATTCATTCATTCATGGTTTGTAAGTTCATGACCTCTGATGTCATACGGTGAGTATGGGATGTGTATGGGTGTGTTTGACTGGTTTTTCCAGTCAGTGCGCATGGCTGGCGCGAATTTTATTAACCTTTGCATGCAGTAATATTATTTTAAATCACTTTATGAAAACCGTCTGATATAGACGGACGTTACGAGGACTGTCATTGTCCGTAACATAGCTTTATAATTAGGAGCTTAAAATTCTGTCTACATGGTAAGATATTTTAATTAAACTATTTTATAATTTCAGTAAATTAATTTATGAATTAAATATTTGATATAAATTTCATTTAAATATTTAATGTGTGAATGGACGGTACGTAAGTTTTCATATTTATTGTAGATCACCATGTCATTGATGATATAACATAAATACTTCATAAAATACCATCATGTTGATGAAAGTTAAATAAATTACATTGAAGAGTTGTCCGGAGTTTTCTCTTATCCAAGAACTGTTAATTAAAATAGTTAACACCCTTGACATACATATAATAGTTCAGGAAGGATGATACTTTTAAATCTGATTTGATTGTTTACTTATTTTAATCAAAGATATGTGATAAAATATAAACATACTATAATAATTTGTCAAAAATATTCAATTCGTTATGGCAATATATAAATACGAGGTGATATACGTCTACAGGCCCAAGTCAGTAATTATTTTCTTCTTTGGCAGCGCACGACAATAAAAGCATTTTACTTTTTTGAAAGAGTCCAGAGAAATTTTTTTCTCATCTTTATATCCATAATATCAATATAAACATGCTCAATTGAAAAATCTTATTTTAAACAAAAAATTAATTAATGTATATCAGTGACTATGAAATGTAGTAAAGGTTCCGATTCATGTCTTTGAATACATGAGACGGTATTTACAACAGTCAAAATGATTTTATTAGAAGAAAGAAGATATATTCATATTTAAGCATTTCATCAGATAATGATGTCATAAAAAACGAGATCACCCATCAAGCTGCAAATCTGCATACAATAGGAATCCAGCAAAACTATTTGCAAAACTTGACAACATAACACCTGGTGGCGGATCTCGACTCTTGTGAGCACGCACCCAAACCTCGTCACCTTTGTTCAAATGCACCACGACCATGTTACTTCCGTTCACACTGAAGTTTGGATCAGCGCCGGAATAAGCACAAGCAGACCTGGTTTCTCCATTAATTGTTAGATCCACTCCTAGTCTCATATGTGGCCTCGTCAAAATGTTGAAGAAAAACACATAGGTTCCAGAAATTTCACATTTGAATTTCCCTGTCGTAGGATCATAGCCTCGTCCTAAATTATACTCAACTAAATCGAACACAATTGTCTGATTCCTTTTGACGTCAGACATGGCCCCCTCTAAACTGATCTGAGATGTGAACGCCACACGAGGTGTCCCTGTTAGTACAAAAAAGTTTTTTTAAGAAAAAATTAATGATTATAGCACATTTTTTAGCTTACAACTATATGTATAGGCGCATCGTTGACATACTGCATTTGACATTCAAAGACATTTACATTGTGGATCAGTTATTTAAAAATGGACGAGTTTATAAGTAAAGATGGCATTTCTCATCTTTATCGCTGCTCTCAAGAAGAAAACATTTCACCTTCTTTAGTTACAGTAAGTTTAGAAAAATATTTTTGAAAATAAACAGGAAAATGAAAAAAAAAGTTTATTATGTTTTAAAAATTATTTCCTATGTAAATCTATACTTTAAAAAGTCTAACTATTCAATGTTTTACTGAGCGGTCCAAAATAAATTAAATTGATGTTTGACCGCATAATTGGATATTGGAACTGCCGATGTGATATTAGACCGCTTACGTCACCCTTGGGGGAGGGGGGGGGGTTCAGCTAAATCTTATTTGCATTTGTTGGTGCTCGACAGTGACAGGATTGACCGAGTTTAACTGCAGTGCGGATAAAGGAAATTTACATCCAGGAAGCCAGTACAAGATACCAATTTCAAAAATTGAATAAAATAAAATATATAACAAAACATGGATTGGCTGTGTTCTCGGGCAAAATGCTTTTTGCTGACCCTCGAACCAAACTGTCAGCCTTCGGCCTAACGGCCTCTGGCAAACAGTTTGGTCCTTAGGTCCGACAAAACGCATATTGCCCTCGAACCCAGGTAATAAATGTATAATATTATAGTATTAAGCAAAGTTTTAAAAGGCGGTCTGATTAAAAAGGATTTCTAATTTTTAAGTTCATATCCACAATAGTGTACTTGTTGTATATCACCTTAATTGCTGCAAAACCATACTAAATGTAGGACACCTATATCTAATTTCTATGTCTCTTCATTTAAAAAGACATAATTGCGTATAAGCTTTATTTTATGCAATTTGAAATAAATTTTTAGACACGTGAAATAAAAAAAATCAAAAGTTTTTCTACTAAAAAAGATAGAAAAGTACTCAGGAAATGTTTATCGGATAGGAATGTATCAATTTTAAATCATGCTGACATGACAATATATTGATAAAATAATAAGCATAGAAATAAAATCCGGAAGAAATGTAACAGCCACTCCCAAGTGTAATTTAATAAATTTTTCGGGAAAAAAGATTCTTGTTTACTATGCAATGACGATGAAGACTTCTCAAAAATATCATAATTATTAATTCAAATTTATACAGTCGCATTTGTACACATTAAATTGTGACAAGTGTAAAATGTGAGAAGGAATAACTGCACATTAGGCTGCACCTGAAAACTGTTTATTAAATAATTCTGCTGTTTGTAATTTATAAAGAAGGTATAATATAGGCATGGGGCGGAATCCGGCGGATTGTCAACTTAGCAATGCATTTCTCAAAAACGGGTTATTAATTAGCATTTCTTAATTTAATATTGCAATACAAGATGATAATAATCCCTTTAAACTCTCTTATTAATTATAAACCAGTTGTATTTATTTACTTGGCCACTAAATCATGCCAACGTCGACATTTTATATAAATTAGAAAAACGTTGAAGTATTTAGGGATAGAAGAAAACATTAATGCGTTCTATTAGTGTCATAGAAAATTTAAAGACAAAAGGATGATTGACATAATTATATTTATGTAGGCAGAGTTTCAAAGGAACATTAACACCATTGTTTTCAAATATGGTAATTCAATTCTAAATCCAGTCTTGTTCAAGTTCAAGTTCATTTATTCACTCAAAACCATCTAAAATATATGGTACATGAGGACAATGAAAAATATTTAAAACATATAAATTCCGGTCAGAGGTACAAGTATATGATACTATTGTCTACTAAACAAAAAAAAATGTTTTATATCAAAACATGGATGCATTTGATATGACATTGTTTTATATTACATTCTATGTTGTTTGTTTTTTTTTTTAAATCCTATTAATTTAAGAAAATATATGTAAGCTCCGTTGATCCATGTATGGAATTATTTTTTTTTTGTTAACACCAACTTTACTAACATGGTAAACTTTAAGAAACTTTGGCCTATACAGTTCAGAATTTTAGCTTGTTAATTAGTAAGATTAATGACGTTTAAGATTAAATTATTTACATGTTGCTTCAAAATGCATCCCATTTATCACTGTATGACACAAAAACATATATCAAAACTTTTAAGGTAATTAGCCAAGTTTACGATTTTTTCCTTGTAATTGGTATTACTGAAAAAAAAATGCAAAACCATGTGAATTAACAAAAATGAGTCGCCCTATCACTGATAATTTCATCAGGTACTTTTAATTAAATAAATCAAGATTTTTCTCTTTTCTTCCTTAATTTTAATTCCAATTTTCCTTAAGCGTATACATACATTTATCATGTATGTAATTAATTTCTCTAAATTGTCACTTTCTTCTTATCAGTACATATTATATTATGAAAATCTTAAAGACTACATATGATAAAAATTTTATTCATTTGCCTATTGTGCTTTCGATTATGTTTTCCTTAAAGGTGCTTGGACACAGATTTGAAGTTAATATTTTCTCAAATTTTCTGTTTAATATCACGACTTATATATTGCAATAGCATTTCACACGAAAATATAATTAAAAACTTATTTTATCTGGAAATTATTGGAAGTACGAATTCCGGGACGTGTTTGATTAACACATCTTTGCACTTACCCTGGTACACAAATTTTAACGTTATCCTTAATATTTAAGAAAAGAGGCGATTCTGTTACGTATTAATGAAAAATAGTACATCTATAATCCAGAAAGATCAGAGTAGAAATGTTCGAAAGCAAAACCAGCTCACCAGTATTGTCAGTCCGTGCTCTGTGATGTGTACAGAGCTTAACAAATTGAACACACCCGTGAAACGTAAACTGTTTTTGTAAACAGGGCACGAGCTCTGTTATTGTTAATGTTTACGATTCACCGGGTGTGTTCAATTGTTAAACTCTGCACACACCACTGAGCACGGACTTAACAATACTGTGAGTGGGTTTTGCTTTCGAACATTTCTACTCTGAATTTTCTGGGTTATAGTTTTAATATTTTTCATTAATGCACAACAAAATTGCCACTTTTCTTAAGTATTAAGAATAAAATTAAAGTATGTGAAAGCGCAAGGATGTGTCAATCCAACGCGTCAAGAAATTCGAAGTTTTGATAACTTCGAGATGAAATAAAATTTTTATTACATTTTAGTATGAAATGCTATAGCAACATATAAGTCATGAAATTATACAGAAAATTTGAGAAAATATTAACTTCAAATCTGTGTCCAAGCACCTTTAAATAATATTGATTACAATGTTTGCACATTTGGCACCGCCTATTTACTAGTACCCTCTACGCCAGAACACTTTGACAACAAGAAGTAGAAACAATTGTAACTTAGCAATTTATCTGGGTCACTGGAAAGCACCAGTCCTGTTTCTATATATACTTACCAACATTTCCTGGTAGCGCCACCTGATTTTGGTAAACACTCGAAGGACGTGGTCGGACGTCCCCAATACTTTCTCTCTTTTTCTGCAAGGACTTAACATTATGACTCAACTGGTCAATTGCATCATCAAGTAACCCATTTCCTTTCTCGATCGAAGATACATTATACATAAGGGTCTCGATGACGTCATATAATGAGTCAAATTTCTGCTGAATTGACGTCATGTTACCATCAAGTCCGACTAATGATTCGCTAAGTTTCTTATTTCGTTCGTTGTACACGACTACGTTGTTTTTCAAATCGAACACGTCTTCATCTAATTTGTTAAGTTCTCTGTGGACAGAATAAACTTTTTGTGTTAGTGAATCAACAGTATCGCTAAATCCTTTGTTTTTATCGTTAATTCCTGTCACATTCCCTTTAATGTGCCTCATTTCCTTTTTCAGCATCTTGTCCTCTTGTTGTAGTTTGGTTACATTTTGGTTCAGCTTACCAATTTTTTTCTCCAACCTTTCGTCCCATTCATGCAATGACGTCAGGTTGTTCGTAAGTCTAAAAATTACTACTGCCATTCCTTCACTACTATCCTTGTGCGATTCTACGAGCTTTAACATTCTCAAAACATCACCCTGCATAGCACCTTGTGTAGTCCTTATGGCGGAAACATTTCTTTTCAGGTTTATAAGAGAAGCTTGTTGATCCCTATTTTCTTCCTGTAGTGACGTCACGTTCTTTTTGACATCTATCATGTCGTCACCGAGTTCAGACGCGCTTGACTGGAGAATTATCAAATCGTTTGTTAGTCTCAACACAATGTCTCCCATATCTTTGCTGGTTTTTTGTACCAGATTCATTTCGCCTTGTAAATCTGTAACTACCACACTCATTCCCCTGTTGCTTGAGTCCAGCGATGTAACATTTTTCCTTAGTTTTGTCATACCATCTTCGAATTTCCTATTCCTTTTCTGCAAGGAAGATACCTTCTGCTCGAGGCCAACTAACTGATAATCAAAATCAGTTTGATTATGACCCAGAGATTCAACCTCGTTTTGAAGTTCCAAAATCATGTGACTATTATTGGCGCCATTTGATCTTATATATTCCATCTCTTCCATGATAAAAGACTCTTTTTCACGGAATTCTTCATTGCTTAGAGTAGTTTCTTTGACGTGGTTTACTTCCTTCTGTAATTCCTCGATCACGTGACTGTTCATTCCGGTCGCAGTCTTCATTTCGCTAATTTCCCGTGTCATGGCGGAATATTTATCCTGGAAAGATCCATTATCCACCGAAGATCGTTTCAACTCTTTAAAGTCAACTTGAAGCACTTCAATATCATTGTTCTGTCTTGAAATCTCCTTTTTCACGTCACCGACTTCTCCTGAAAGTATGGTCGATTTGTCATCAATTTTTCTATCAGTATTGTCGATTAATCGCTTCAGTTTTAAGTTTGATTCAGTTAAGTTTCTTTTCACTTCAGTTAATTCGGAATTCAACTGAGTGGTCACTTTTGATAAGGCAGCAACTTGTTCCATAAGAAGTTTTATTCCTCTGTTTTGTTGAGTTTGTTCTCTTAACAACGTAGTAACTTCCAACTGGAGAACGTTGACGCTGTTCATAATGGTCGTGGTAATCATCGATTCACGAGAGACGCGTTGACGCAACCGCTCGTAATCACTAGTTGAATCCGTCATCGTTGACACGTCCGCAGTGCTAACTGCATTTGACGCGAAAGGAAATCCGAAAATTGCGAAAAGAAAAACTGTGACCATTTTTGTGTCCATGACATTACACCTGAAACAGCGGTCGCTCTGCATAATCCTAATGCAGACAGACAACTGAGAAATGAGGAATGCTGTAATAGATTAAAGAATGTCATTCTTCATATATCCTTACGTCCCAACTCTAAAATTAGTTATAATTTTATGCGGAAACATATGAATAGATGAGATGCGTGTTGAACATTAATGGTTCACAAATGTATACAGTGTACTGAATGAAGACGAGAGGAATATCTAGTTGTAGAATTCATGTCTATGTCCCGTATTGTTATTAATAATCCTGTCAGAAGACGAGGAAAAAATTAATTTGCTCTGTAAATCCCTATGGTTTTTGTTATATAGAAACATATAAAACTGCTATGTATATCTAGTAGCTTTGTCAAAAACCAATAATTAAATGCATGCGTATCTTTATGTATCTTTTATAAATTGTCAACTGCATATATTTTATTTAAATAGGTAATTGTTTTTTCCTTGGAGTTTAAGTGCAAATGGTGTTAATTCAATGCGTGCATGTTAAAATGGTATCTTCAGCTGTTAGATATACCAGGGACGTATTATACAAGACAGTGCATTCCTGGATATACCATAAGTTTTTGTATCTGTAAAATAAACACCAGCTCGTGGCTATTTAGAAAGCATATAGGCCTAATATAGTGAGAGATGACTTTTTAACTTTTTTTTAATTTAATTTAATTTATATTATTTTTTATTCATTTATTTTTTTCTTTTGGTTTTGGCTGGCAGAGGGATTTGTTTGTTTGTTTGTTCGTGTTTTGTTTTATTTATTTATTTTTTTATGTTTTGTTTGTTTCTTTTTTCTTTTTTGGGGGGTGGGTGGGGTGGGGTGGAGGTACATGTACCATATACACCAGGCCCGTAGGAAACACATTCAGTTTGGGGGGCACAGCCATACATTTTCAGTTGACGGGGCACTACCAAACATTTCCTGACAAGCAAAAAAAAAAGGTCATCAACTACCAAAAATTCCTTGAAAAGCAAAAAAAAAAAAAAAAAAAAAGGTCATCAGACGTTTTTTATTGAGGGGGCACAAGCATATTGTATCTCTGTTTACTATAGTTATATATCGGCAGAATTATTGGGGGGCACGCCCCCCCCCCCGGTTCCTACGGCCATGTACATTGTACACTGTGTTCTACTCTGTGATTTTTTTAATCAGTAGAAATTTTTCTGAAAGCTGGTGACAAATCTTAAGATAACTTTGATCACAATTTAAAATTTTAAACATATAGGATATTATAAAATTATGCACTCATATATACATATACCTTATTTACATTTCGATAATCTCTACCTAAGTTAGAAATTCGTAATAACGAATTCATCAAATCTGTTTAACAATTTTAATTCATGATAATAACGGATTAAAAAAAATGTTTTGATAACTACTTGTAGAGTTTATAGGCGTGGTACGTCTTTTTTACACATGGTTTTTTTTCTTGACTGAAAGTGTCAGAATCCTCATTTTAACAACTTATAAGTGTGTTATGGTTTTATGTGTATTTAATTGTGTATATATTTATTTATCTATATGTGCTATATTTCATTCATATTTTCCCCTATTTGTCTTTACTTATTGTATTGAGTTATTCCCCTTTGTTATAACCCGTCCAGGTTAGGCGCGCCCGGGTCTATAGTACCCGGCCGGGATTTATTATTGATATATATATGTGCATTTGTTTAATCAAGAGCAGTCGACATTATAATTAATTATCGAATAGACGTATTTCGGGGATCGGGGCTAAATTCCTATCCACAATAATGGTAATTATCACGTTCTTGGATCTTATGTGATATTGTTTCATATCTTTTACGTTTGTTTTACGTGATTGTTATCTCAACAGAATATATAGAACTAATTCTTTAAACACTGAAATTCTTGTTATTCTTTTATCCTTCCGAACTCGGATCATGTACGGGACTAACCCCTAGACAGTCCCGTTACATAGATATTTTTGGGGGCTCGTCCCTAGGATAAAAGAGTATTTCGGTGTTTTATCTTGGATTTAGTTGACGTATATGTACAATGTCTTTTTGGGGAGGGTTTCTCGCAATTTTGCGATTTTTCATTCCTAGTTTTCTTCGTGTTACTTGTAAATTGGATGAACAATCCTCTGAATTTGGAGGAAATTCTAAACTAGGGTGTAATGAAACTGTAAAAGTTTCCGACTGTGCGAAAATGGAAAATTTTAGATCCGCGCATCGCAACTTACTTGACGAAGATTCTGCTTACGACACGCTTGTTTCATCCTTTTCTCCGTCATTGTCGATGGAACGTGGATATAAATCAGATAATTCTGATTCCAAAATAAACACTGATACTGAGTGTCCCCGAGATTCATCATGTTTTTCACCAAATAAATCAGAAAACAGATGTTTTTCGTCGGTAAACAGACATAATGCAGACGAATCCATTGATCACGTGACGTCTTACACAAAGAGTATGGAAAGCCGTTCCGATGCTAATTTTATGCAATCGAGAGCTAGCATGCCGCGTGATTCTTACTCAAATAAAAATGGCATAGACAAACTCAATGTTTGTAAAACCTCTCAGGTTAATTTTGATAAAGAACCAATTCTTTATGATAATTATGGAAACCGGTCTGGATCTAAAAGAAGCAATCGTTTTAGAAAATACAAAGAACCGGACGTGTACAACGCAGAGAATACAGAATGGCCCGATTATCTGTGTCATTTCGAGCAAGTTGCAATGTGGAACGAGTGGACATAATACTGTAATAGTCATGATTTTAAATTGATTTTAATTATAACAACAATTTTCTTTCAGATGCCATTGAAAGTTATGAAATAACTTTCAATAATAAACTTAATTTAAAATAAAAATGTTTTATTTAAATATTAAACAGTTAAATAAATTTATAACAACTACCTCTAATTAAAGTCTAGAAATCTCTGGAGTTCTAAAATTACAGTTTAACTCTTAACCTTGAATAAATAAATAAGTAAAAATAGCCATTGGTTAATATTTTCCCACCAAAACCTTTAACCCCCTTTGTCCAGAGTGTCCAGATAATTACTAGCCTAGGAGCAGTCAGTGTGTAAAGTTGTATTTTTGATATTTGGAGTATTTTATAGACCACTGACAGTAAGTTGACTTTTTGACATTCTTATTTCACATTAATACTTTCATATTAATAATTGTATGAATGAAAAGTGGCATATGAGAGAATTTATTAAATTATTTAAGTTTGTCAAAGCTGATGAACTAGTTGATTTTAAACTTTGCAATGAAATGTATCTTATGACACAAAAGAATATATAGTGTATTTAAATGTTATTTATAAATTGTAGATATTAAATCCATAGTAAGACAATACACTGTATTAGAAATAGAGATGGATTCATACCCATAGTTTGGTATGTAGCTATATGTACATGTATATTGTAAATATTTATCCACTATATGAAGTGAATATATAAAGAGAAATATTTGTATTTAAAGTCAAGAGATATAACTCATTGACCTGTGTCAATATTTATTATTTTATGATCTAATTAATATGTAGTAATTATTTGATTTTATGATAACAATAGATTCTGCTGTCATGTGTGATATCAAATTTAGTTAATGTATTTTATATTGTTTTGCAGAATCTGGTACTTAAATTATAATCCATGTAATAAACATCACACTGATTTCAAAACCATCTTGTCTTGATTGCTGCTCCGCTACAAATTTGGCGCCCAACGTGGGGCAATGATGATGATGGCACCAACTGCAGGAGCCATCTCCAGTCCCCCATAGATAATAAAGTCAGTGGTGGATCAAAGCCTTCAATCAACATTTCAACAGCTGTTGTGTTTTTTTGCTACAGACTGACAACACACAAGGTAACCCACCTGTGTCACACCTGAGTGAGTTTTGCTCAGAATAAACTGCACTATAGTGAACATATATATATACTTGTGCTATAAACATTCCGGAAATTTGTTTTCCGTCCATCCAGATTTTTACTATAAACTTTCCGGAAATTTCTTTTCTGTCCATACAGACTTTAATATTTCCAGTGTAACTCTATATCCGGTTTGAACCTGAACTTGATTTCCACACGTGGATTTGTGAATTTCAAGACTTCTAGACTGATAAAAGTGTAAAATTATTTGATAATTTTGTTTATTCTTATTTGGATATTGCTTGTTTAAAGTAAGTCATGTAATTTATTTGTATTTTTGAATTTTATTGAGTATTTCAGTGCTTGTTTACATTAGCAACTTGTCGATCAGCTGTTTGCTGTAGTGTTTACGCTTTGAAATTTTTTCTTCATTTGTAAATCATACAGGCCTACGTTTTAATTTTCTCATTCTGGTACCAAACTTGTCTCTGAAGTTTATATTTTGAATTTTCAGAGGTAAATTGACACATTTGACTTTTGAGTTGTTTACAAAATGTAATTTATATTCATAACAGCTTTGACAGTACAAATCATTGAAAGAGTCCTTGTGTGGATGGAGTGAGATATTTATCATTTACAGGATATACTAAATACTTATTCACTTTCCTGTTATTTACATTCTGATATTTTACAACTGACCCATTTAGCGACTTTGACTTTTTGAAATCAGAAGTTGAGTTTTCAAGGTTGTTTATGGTAAGTGGTTGGTAGGATACATTGCCCTTTGTCCTTCACCCTAAAGTCAGATAACCATGTTTTAAATAGGTAAATTAAAATAGAAAGATATTAAATACTGAGAGTAAATAGGCACAAAATAAAATGTGAGTGTTAAACAATCAGGTGTATTTAATCAAGGGTACAAAGATTAAATAAAATTTTTATTTTCAGGAATTGTGTCGCGCGTTTTCTTTGAATTATTTTTCGTGCGATTTCTTTCACGGTTTCTTCATACGTTTCAAATACGCACTTGTTTTCTCTGCATTGCTTTGCACTTTAGCATTTATGCATTGCATTTATTGCGCAGCGTGCTTGAGCTTGCTTGTTTGATTTTTTTTTTGTCAGATTATCTTTGTCTATTGACATTGAATGAATGCAATTGATTTTTC